AAAGAGGGGGGGTGGGGGGGGGGCACGAAAAATCCTCCATCTGGTACTTTAATGCATATGAGGTATTCCATGCCAAATGAGTCAATGGCTAACCCTCACCCTCTTGAAAATTGATGGTGATTTTTTCTACGATTAGGGGGCTTAAAAAACTATTTCTCAAATTTTCTCAGATTTTTGTGACAGCCCAGTTCGGAAACATGATTTTTTTTCAAATTGTTCCGTTTTTTTACAATAACTCGAGTTCTACTCATCCGATTTCCATTTATTAGGGGACAAAATTTTCCATTTTTTACCACCTATGAGAATGTTTTTTAAAAAAAAAATTCCAATTTTTAGATGCTCGAAATAACGAATTTCCGAAAAAAAAGTTGAAAAACTTGCATTTTGCCAATTACTTCACGGTTGATTATTTTAATTTTTTTTCAGTAATTCTTATAATGTAAACGAAAATTTTGAGCCGTCATACATGTTGGGTTCCATCCAGGATCTATATTTTTAAATTTTTTCTTTTTAAAATTGCGAAAATTTGGTGAAAATACCTTAAAACGACTTTAATTATATGTCGGAAAAATATGTAATATATAGGTATTATATATTTAAATAGGTATATATTTAAATTTACTTCATACTGTTTACAATCAAAGTCAACCAATGACATTTTGGGCTATTTTGACCGAATTCGCGAAATTTTGAGAATAAAAAATTAAAAATGAGATAGATCTATGACGAAACCCAACATGTATGATGGCTCAATATTTTTAATAATCAACCGTGACGTAATGAGCCAAATTCAAGTTTTTCAACTTTTTTTTCTCGAAAATTCGTTATTTCGAGCATCTAGAGATTGGAAAAAATTTGGACAAAAAACATTCTTATGAGTGGTGAAAAAAGGAAAATTTTGATTCCTAATAAATCGAAATCGGATGAGTAGAACTCGAGTTATTGTAAAAAAAACGAACAATTTGAAAAAAAAATATCTCTGAACTGGGCTGTCACAAAAATCTTTAAAAAATTGAAAGATAGCTTTTCAAGCCCCCCAATCGTAGAAAAAATCGCCATCAATTTTGAAGAGGGTGAGGGTCAGCCGTTGACTCATTTGGCATGGAATACCTCATATTCACCGAAAGTATCAAATTTGAGGCACTACATTCGCTTATTTCACTTCAGGAATTACGAACGATAAAAGAATTTACGAGGAAACGTTTCGTTTGTTTCACCAATTAATTAATGAACCTGTAACTTCTTCGCAGGGATTATTGCCAAGATTTTTCTTGAAGAAATCCAATGAGGAATTCGGCCTAATCGCAGTATTGAACAATATTAAGCAACTAATAATCCAAATAAGAGCTACCAGAGTCCTCACGACAGGAGACACACCAAGTCTTTCTCAAAGACGCGAACAGGAGCTGATCGCATCTGTTCATCATATAGAGACTTTACGGCGAGAAAACAAAATAATCGAAGCACTCAGTGAGGCTGACTCTGTGATGATAAAGAGTAAGGAGACACTCAATTACTACCGACGGCTGCAAAGAAATCAACTCATATTTTATTTGACACTATTATGGATCGGATGGATTGCACTCATGATTTTGAAGCTGATTGGCAGTCAGCGTCAGACACTCGGTGCTTTAAATAATGGCATTTTGTATCTTACGGTGGTTAATGCGATATTTTGTATTGTTGTGATTTTGATCGTAATTGAACATAAAGGTAAAGTGCATTTTTAACTCATCAATATATTCAACTCATTTTTGTCAAGTTGATTAAATTCCAGAAATTCCTTCAATCAGCAATTGTTTTAACCTTGATCGATCACTTAAGATTCGGAAAAAGACAGATATAATAAATTTTTCTTCTGAATTGATTTCAAATTATATTTTTTTTATTCTTTGATTTAAATTATCTATTATTATCTTCCTAGTTTCAGGGAGAGGTGATTGGAGAGTCCTTGGTTATGGGATCATCGCATTTTTTTCCGTTTTTTTGGCCCTTCGAAAAGCTGTAACTATCTCGGTTCAGTTCAAAACGAGTAAAAGTTTTCATTCGAAAATCGCAATTGGAAGCACGATATTGTTGATAATGAGTATATCAGTTGGGGTGATTGATAAACGCTTCTTCAGTATAGCTATGATCGTCACAGCCCTAATGCAAAAGAAACTGATGAAAAATCCTCATAGATTTCTCCTCCCTAGTGCTGTGATCCTGGCCATGTATCCACTTCTGCCAGTACCCAAGCCTCATACTAATTTAATTATGATGTAAGTTATGAAGAAATATCATCATTGAGTGAAAAATATGAAGTTAAATGAAATTTTTTCTGTCAATCATATTGTCCAACTTCTTTTTATTTAATCAGACAAACTTATCAGTTATTATTCATTTGTTCCAGATTTGCTCCGTTCATCATAACTCCGCTGTTTCTTCCCAAACCATCCAAAGGTCTTGTAGCTCTCGAGCTGATCAGGGTTTTCCTAACAGGGTTCATAATGAGCGGAGTGGTCGATGGTAGGACGGGAGCTTCCTGGGTCATTCTGTTGTCAAGTCCCCTGTCCATTCTCCTTTACCCAGCAGAACCGGAAGAGCTCAAATTGACAGGAGTGATCTTCGGTCTTCTCTGCCCCTTGGCGCTCTTGTCAGCTTCCTACGAGCCTCAAGTCTTCTGCCTTCTTGGCATTCACTTGATCTCACTACTAAAAACAATGAAAAATGGAGAGGAACAATTGGGGATTATGAAACCTAGGAAAAGGAGTCTGGATCTTGTCGATGTGATAACAGCTGTTTACTTCATGCTCTACATTCTATTATCATTTTTTGGAACGGGAAACATGGCCAGCATTAGCTCATTTGATCCCATGTGGACTCGACACTTTATTACGATGTTTTCACCTTTCACGATGACTACTTTAATTCTTCTCAAAATAGGCATTCCTTTGATACTTATAGGATGCGCCAGTCGTGTTGTCACCTCCTCATCTACATTTTTGGCTGTACTACTCTTGGGTGATTGTTTATCACTACCTCTGATGTATAATGTGAGTTCTCAAGGAAGTTGGCTCGATATTGGAACTACTATCAGTCGATACACCATTTCTATCACTTTACCTTGCCTTTTTATGGTTCTTTATTATATCTCAAGTCCATTAATGTTATTTAGGATTACTAGGGGATGGAAAGTTCAAACTGAGAAAGATCATTTGATTTAGAAGAATGAGAATGATTCATGCTAAAGAACCACTCCCGTAGTTTTAGGTGGCCTTTTGTGGTTTATAGTTATAAAAACATTGACAGGATGTGATTCAATGATTTACGTTTTATCCATTCAGTATCCATTTTTACTCGATTTTTCATTAGAAAATATGCATAAAGACTCGACCACTCGCAATTTTTCTGCAAGTTGGTAAATTACTTATAATCATTGTTGGAACAATAACTGTGAAATATTATTTGTCGGAAACGAATACCATGGGTGTTATGGACTATGAAGTGTCACTTACCTCACTGCTCTCTGCGTTACCCAGGGCTAACGACGTGGCCGTGGGGATGTCTGATCCCGAAGACAACCCATGTTGGTACATAAAAAGACATGGGACAACATACAGATGAGATGATGCAAAAACGCCAACTGATAACCCCGGCAATGGTGACTCAATACACCTCCGCTGCTCTCCATACGGCTAAATTCATTAAAATATGAAAATTGGTTATACTATCGGACGTATCAGTCGGAATCCGCGGATGGGGAGGGGGGGGCGGCGGTGACGTTGGGTGAATAATGTCATGTCAGCTCTGTGAAGAGTGTTTCAAATCTATTAGTGAAGTCTATTGAACATTTAAATAAGTACTCACATAAATATCCACGGAAATGGCTCCGTTTCAAAATTTATGAATTTCGGAAAGACGCATGTTTACCGTTGAATAGATCCTCTGTTAAATCCTGTTATTCCTTCGCAAACTACGGCGACATGTGTCGAACATGTTTCGAATTCAAACCCAAGGAATAGACTTGAAGACTGTAAACATCTATTTGTTTTTGGTCTCATATCGTTTTCCGACATTCCTTTCAGCTGTAAAACCTGCATTCCCCTTGTCAGAATAGTGATTAGTATCATATTTATCGAAAAATGTATGGTGGAGTCTTTCTGCATATTTATCCAACTTAATAAAGTGCATTTGATGTGAAGATAGGCTCTCTGATTCAACGATTTTTCGTGTAACTTTGCACGAATTCATCTAGTGAATGCGAGATGGGCACTTTTATAACTATGTTCAAATTACAAAAATTTTTGGTGGATTCTGAATAAACATATTCTTGTGGAATTTCAAAATTGTTTCATGCTAACGCAAACACCTAAAATCTCAATCCAGAAAAATATCCTTCCTGAATATTTATCCGCCAGACTTTATCTTAACCTTTGATCACTCGCGCTCGGCCACCAGCCTTTATCCGTCACACGATAGAGCAGTGCCGCTGGGCTAAACCGAGCGCGCTGTTGCACTGTTGGTGCTTACCGCTATGCGCACATTTCAAGCATGGCAGTGAATGTAGCAGCACTGGCGGTCGAGCGAGAACATAGTTAGCGACCATGGTTTACAAAAAGCCATTGCTAATCTCCTTGGGGATGACGCTGAAGTCATCAACAAGGGGCTGCAAGAAGACATCGAAATCTGAGATCTCGATAAAATGATGACAAAAGAGGAAATCTTAGCAGCTCTGCCGAAAGCAGCTGGAGAAGTGTATGAAATCACGCTGGACGCCGTCAAGTCGCTGCGTAAGGCCTATGGTGGTACGCACACTGCTTCGGTCACACTGGCAGCGTCAGTGATAAAGAACGTATTAGGCGAACAAGACAAGATCAGGATTGGCTGGGTCAACTGCCGGATAAGTGGAGCAGTGGAGAGACCAATCAAGTGCTTCCATTGCTGGCACTATGGGCATCTCGCCACTAAATGCAAGAGCGAAGTGGATCGGTCCAGTCTCTATACTAAATGCGGAGAAAAAGGTCACAAAGCTGCTGTCTACAAAAAGGACGCTCGATGTGTCTTGTCCATTGAAAAAGGCAACACGAAGAATTGTGCCCACATCGCTGGTAGCAGCAGCTGTCCAGTCTTCAACGAGGCACTCCAGAAAGTCAGAAATTAACGAGTATGAAGATACTCCAACTCAACCTCAACTATTGTGAGGCTGTGCACGATCTGCTTACCGAAACGATGCGGGAGCTAAAGCTTGACCTTGCCATGATCTCGGAGCCATATCGACAACTTGGTACTCAATCCTGGATTACTGATGCCAGGAGGAAGGCTGTAATCTGGGCTTGTGGGAATCGGCCGTTCCAGAGTACTACCAGTAGTAGTATACAGAATGGTTTTGTGAAGGCGAAAGTTGATGGAATTCACTTCTACAGCTGCTATGCTATGAGTTCACAGACTTCCTGGATAGACTGACTGGGGGTGTGAAACAGCACTTCCCCATAGGAATAGCCGGAGACTTCAACGCCTGGGCAGTCGACTGGAGTAGTAAGGAGACATCAAGGGATAAACTGTACTGGAAGCCATGTCGTCGCTGGACGTAGTCTTGTTACACAGCGGCAATAAACCGACCTTCATTAGGGGAGAGGCGAGCTCAATCGTGGACCTCACTTTCGTGAGCAGCACTCTTGCAAAGAGAATCTGCTTATGGAGAGTAACTGATATTTACACTACAAGTGACAATCGGGGCATATTATGGGAGACCTGTACGGACTAGAGAATCGGATTAACGCTTAACAAGACCAACTGTATTGGCTGGAGAGTCAGCACATTCGATCATAGCTCTTATTCAGTAGCGCTAGACGATCGCCCGGTCAGTGGTAACAATGCCACAGAGAAGGCACGCAGCATCATGGAAAGAGGGACCAAAGCTTGCGATGCCACCATGACGAGAAAGCGGACAATAAACCGGCCTCTACCGGAGTATTTGCGGAATGACGCCATCGCTGTCCTACGGAAGGAGTGTAACGCAGCCAGGAGATTATCTTAGCATGGTCGTAAAAAACCAACCTCCGAGGAGTTGGTGATTAGATGCAAGAAGGCACGCCGGAAGCTCAGCACAGCCCTCAAATACAGCGAGAAGCAATCCTGGAGCGACCTCGTTGCGGAGGTGGACGATGATGGGGTAGACCATACAAGGGAGTGATAAGGCGCCTCAAAAGTCAACCTATCCCGTCGCCAAGGTACCCTAGGCTCATGAAGAAAATCGTAACGATGCCGCAACAGCCAGAACTTTACCGTACTGCTGGATAAGGAGGGGAGGTGTTGATCCCACCAATCACTAAAGAGGAATTGATGGAGTCTTGTAACAGAGTGGATTACACCAAGGCCCATGGCCTCGATGGGATTCCCAATGTCGCGTTGAAGCCAGCTATCCATATGATGTCGGAGCGGTTCTTGGACGTATACAATGAGTGCCTTAGGGAGGGCACCTTTCTTACCATGTGGAAGCAGTAGAGCGTGACTAGTACTGCTCTCAAAAGGGAAGGAACCACCGGGCGAACCCTCGTAATATCATCCCATCTGCATGCTCGATACTGCTGGCAAGATTCTTGAGCGTATCGTCCATCGAAGAATAGAAATAGCAGGCGAACCGCTATTAGCCGACAATCAATATGCTTTTCGGAAAGGTCGATCCACCGTAGATGCCATCAACCTTCTCGTCGACACTACTAGAGAAACGATTTCAGGTACACGATGGCTAAACGACACGAAGAAGTATTGCTTAGTGGCGACACTAGACATCAAGAATGCCTTCAACTCGGCCAGGTGGGACTATATCATGGAGGCTCTCACGAAATTCAACGTACCGGGATACTTACGGCGGATGATCGATAGCTATTTCACCGGAAGGGTCCTTAAGTACGGTCCTTAACACGGAGTGTGGTCCCAAGGAGTACAGAGTCACTGGAGGTGTACCTCAAAGCTTAGCATTGGGGCCCTTCTTATGGAAAATCATCTATGGTGAGGTGCTGAAACTGACATTGCCACGGGGTTCTAAACTCGTGGCATTTGAAGATGACGTGGCTGTAGTCATCGTAGGAAAATACCTGAAGGAGATTAACTTCATCTTCGATATTACCTTTGAGGATTCGTCAGTGGATGGACACAGTAGGTTTCGATTTGGCAGAACATAAAATAGAGGCTGTGCTGGTCACCAGCGGAAAGCAAACTGAGACAATTATGCTGCAAGTCGGGTCCTGCGAAATTACTTCCCAGTCGTTCATCTGATATCTGGGAGTGATGATCGATGCTCGACTCAATTCCAAGCAGCAAACGGAGCACGTCGATGCCAAGGCATCAGGAGTTAGAGACACCTCATCGCGCCTCATACCCAACATGGGAGGTCCCAAGCAAAGAAGGCGAGTGCTGCTGTCATCGGTAGTCACGTCAGTGCTTACATACGGTATTATCGTCTGGGCTGATGAACTGAAGTTGTAAGAAACATGCTGAAAGATCGCACCAGTTTAGTGACTGAATACCCTTAGCGTTGCGAGCGCATATCGTACGGTGTCTGAGGACGCAGTGTGTGTCATCGCAGGAATGTCACCGATAGAGGTACTGACTGAGGAACAAAGATCCCTCTACCAGCGGAGGAGATGAGAAACACTGAGCACTTAAGAACTTACGGCAGAAGAGAGACGGAACAGCATGTGCCGATTGCAGTTGAACTGGGACACCTTTACTAAGGGGAGGTGGACCCATCGTCTGATGACATAGGGGGATGTCTGGGTAAGTTGAAAACATGGAGAGATCAATTATTACTTGACCCAAATGCTTTCAGGACACGGGTGCTTCCGGGAGTATCTTCATAAATTTAAACATGAAGATTCTCCGAAGTGCCCCATCTGCATAAAAGTAGTTGAAGACGCAGAGCACGTATTCTTTATATGCCCTCGCTTTAACGAGATCCGGAGTACTTGGGAGTCTGCCCTTGGAAGGAAGGTCTTGCGAGAAAACTTCGTAGAAGCAATGCTGTCATCGCAGGCAGCCTTGGACGCAACGAGCAATTTCGCGGCAGAAGTCATGAAGGAGCTCAGAAGTGAAGAGCGCAAGCGCAAAGCTGCAGAATGAACGAGGAATCTATTGAAACCTACTCTCCACACCCAACGTCTCAGCGGGACAGGGCGACATATACTAGAGGAATACAATGTGGACGAGCAAATAGCTGAGACCTCCCTCGTGAAGTAATACTTAACGATGTAATGAACATGTGGGGATGTTCGTTAGGAACACCATTACGACCTGATGAACAACCCACTCCCGCGGCATAATCCGGTGAATCGTCGGCAAAAATTCGAGTGAGAAAGAGAGTTTTTTGTTCTTCCCATTCCGGTGCAGATTTTTGGATTTTTAAGGTTTTCCCACTTCAGTGGAGATTTTTGGATTTTTTCAGGGTTCCCCACTTCGGTGCGGTGAATTTATATAAATTTAGATGACTATTGCATTTTTTTTTAAATAATTGGGAAGAGTTCTGATTAATTGAACGGNAACATGGGAGGTCCCAAGCAAAGAAGGCGAGTGCTGCTGTCATCGGTAGTCACGTCAGTGCTTACATACGGTATTATCGTCTGGGCTGATGAACTGAAGTTGTAAGAAACATGCTGAAAGATCGCACCAGTTTAGTGACTGAATACCCTTAGCGTTGCGAGCGCATATCGTACGGTGTCTGAGGACGCAGTGTGTGTCATCGCAGGAATGTCACCGATAGAGGTACTGACTGAGGAACAAAGATCCCTCTACCAGCGGAGGAGATGAGAAACACTGAGCACTTAAGAACTTACGGCAGAAGAGAGACGGAACAGCATGTGCCGATTGCAGTTGAACTGGGACACCTTTACTAAGGGGAGGTGGACCCATCGTCTGATGACATAGGGGGATGTCTGGGTAAGTTGAAAACATGGAGAGATCAATTATTACTTGACCCAAATGCTTTCAGGACACGGGTGCTTCCGGGAGTATCTTCATAAATTTAAACATGAAGATTCTCCGAAGTGCCCCATCTGCATAAAAGTAGTTGAAGACGCAGAGCACGTATTCTTTATATGCCCTCGCTTTAACGAGATCCGGAGTACTTGGGAGTCTGCCCTTGGAAGGAAGGTCTTGCGAGAAAACTTCGTAGAAGCAATGCTGTCATCGCAGGCAGCCTTGGACGCAACGAGCAATTTCGCGGCAGAAGTCATGAAGGAGCTCAGAAGTGAAGAGCGCAAGCGCAAAGCTGCAGAATGAACGAGGAATCTATTGAAACCTACTCTCCACACCCAACGTCTCAGCGGGACAGGGCGACATATACTAGAGGAATACAATGTGGACGAGCAAATAGCTGAGACCTCCCTCGTGAAGTAATACTTAACGATGTAATGAACATGTGGGGATGTTCGTTAGGAACACCATTACGACCTGATGAACAACCCACTCCCGCGGCATAATCCGGTGAATCGTCGGCAAAAATTCGAGTGAGAAAGAGAGTTTTTTGTTCTTCCCATTCCGGTGCAGATTTTTGGATTTTTAAGGTTTTCCCACTTCAGTGGAGATTTTTGGATTTTTTCAGGGTTCCCCACTTCGGTGCGGTGAATTTATATAAATTTAGATGACTATTGCATTTTTTTTTAAATAATTGGGAAGAGTTCTGATTAATTGAACGGTTCGATTGTTGCTTTTGAGGGCCCATAAAATTATCGCGAAGAAGGGCCGATATTTTAGAGTCACCCGGTAATTCTTATGGGGTTTGCCCTACTGTTAATCTCACGGGAAATCAATTAGGTCTAATTGAAATATTAGCGCTCCCTATTAAGTCGGACTTCACGGGCATTAATTGTGTAGGTTTTGGAATTTCGGTGGAAGGTCGTGTGGAGCAAGTACAGCCCTTGTTTCCAACGAATTGCCAGGCTGTTCGAGGATTATGGGAGTTTAGACAAATTGGACAAAATAAAGAAAAATTGTATCTTTGGATTTAGTTTCTTTTAATCCCGTGAATCCCGGAGAACCGATCCGTGGGAGGCGCCAAGAACCTAGAATAATCGTCTGAACGATCAGCTGTTCGGGAAAAAGTTAGAATGTTGAGAGATGGTCATATTATTACTTTACTTTATTAAAAATTTGATTAATTATGGGATTTGGTAGGGTAGCGCATGCAAAAATTCCCCCACTCTGGGTGGTTAGGCTGGCTCGCTTAGTTACTGGGTCGCGACACTGACCCCCACAGTTCAGTTCCGCTTTGACTGCGAGTGAATAGAGTGCACAGTGCCAAAACGGGTATCAGTGTTGAGGGATTTACTCGCCACGCTGTAGAGATTTCGTTTGGAGGCTTCAAAACATCCCCTGGAGCTTTCAAGATGGGAAGAAAAATGGGGAATTTAAGGAAGAAGACGAAAGTGAGTTTTCCTGTGGTATTTTAAGTGCTGTTTCATGCGATTCCCCGGAATTATTAAGTTTTATGCTCGGTGAAATGATCCCGGTTTACACGGAGATTGCCCGATTCTTTCTATCGGTTGGGCAGCTAGCGTATGTATCCCGCTCGCTTCCCGCCGTGTGAAACTCCCTCTGACTAGTTAATAGTCTAGAGCGGTAACTAAGGATCCGAAAATTATAAATTTTCGAGAGAGACTCCTCAGAGCTTTCCCACATTGAGTGGCGTTAATTTTTTTCGTTTTCACTCAGCCAATTTTGAGATTGGCGAGTTCAATTCAGGTGAATTTTTATCTCCGCGCTCACGTGGTGGGTTTCGCCCTGGAGAATGTTCTCCTCTCTCTCACTCTCACGGGTATTCGCATACCTTTCCCCCAGTTCTCGGAATTCTCGAGCATTTCGGGATTAATGAATACTTTTGTATTGTCGCTATTGTCCTCGTGTTTTCGATAAAACCTGAGGAATTGGATCACTTTAGCCTTATAATCGAAGCACTTGGAATTATATTATTTTGTTATTATGATTTCAAATCGGATTTATTAGTATTTCTTTGGTTTTCGTTAGAAGAGTGATGCTTGTTATGGAAAATTTTCATTTCTCTTGGAGACTATGTAAAAATATGTAAATTATTTATTTTTGAAAATTTCAATAGTGGAACATGTAAGGATAATGTGGCTTTTTGATCATTTCTGGTTTTCTGACCTCCCAATAACCCGTTTCCACCTGAAATCCACCCCTCTCTCCACAACCTAGCATACTGAGCGACCCGTGGACCGTGACCTTTCCCCAAATATCTAGTTCTGTTCGTTTTTGGTTTGTCGTTTAGGAATTTTCTGAGCATTTGGACTCGAAATTCGCGTACTTGCGGTTTGGTAATTTCGGCTAAAAATTATCTGGCACCCATTATTCCTTTTATTCTGAGTTAACTAGATTTAGGGGAAGAAGGGCAAAGGTATGTCACATTACAACGGTGGTACCGCGAGGATTAAAAAAGGTGACTGAATAGGTCTGACTGGAGTTTAGTCGGTATTGGTCATTGTGATCTGGGTCCGACATACCCCATTCGAAGGAAGAAATTACCGATTCCCTCCTCCAAGTGGCGATGCATAAATGCATTCTCCCAACAAACCAAAAAAAAATACACATACACACACTAACATGTTTTCAAAAATATCAGTATGATTTTAGGGGTTATGAAACGTCGACAAATCATGAAAATGCCACTTCTGATTTTCGGGGTAATTACAATAACTTCCTTCTTTAGGGTAAGGAAATCAAAAATATGTCCCTACCTTTTGAAATTGGAAAGAAATCAGTGCTTACCTCCTCCCATACGCTTAAAAATCCAAGTACCCATGTCTCTCCCCCTTTTAAAAGATCGACGTTTAAATTAAATTAAATGAATATACTCGACATATTTAAAGGTCAATCTATGAAGCTGAATATAGCGAAAGATTCAATTTAGGCGAATCTAAAGATAACCTTGTTAGGACTCGAAAAACATTTTTAAATATAATGGTTTGACCCTTACACCCTGAGAAATTCCCTAAATTGAATTATCCGGTAGTGGCAATTCCCGCAGTTACAGCTTCGTGGTTAATTTCAAAAAATATAATTGTCCCTCATGCACGGTGTATAGCTATCAAATAAATGACTAACATAAATTATAGCTCTTCTCAATTATTTTTATTTATTTTTATTTATTGTAATGCTCAACTGGAGGCCCAAGTTGCTCCAATAGCATGGGGGGTTTACAAAAATAATTTTACATGAACATCATAAAAAGAAAACCAAATCATGAATAGATAAAATGGATACATAAATCAAATTGTTTTGGCGGCGGCAGACTGAGAATATTACGCAAGAATAAAAATAAAAATTGGAGACTTGAAGATTATAACATGCATAAATATAATGTGACCTTAGGAATAGTACTAATAGTGAAACATGAGTAGAATAAATGAAAACAACAGGTATCAGTGGTACAAAAAGCTTTCCCGGCGTCAGGCTCCCAGACCCATTGAAAAAGAAAAAAAAGACGAGAAAATTCTACTTCGGTGGTGGGTCCATCTCGCATCTCTGAATATCCTCCAAGGTAGTAAAAAATATAGACCTCTGACTGAAACCAAGTAAAAATAAGAAAGAAAGCAGAGACAGAAATTAGCAACGTTAGTGGAAAATCATATATAAGTAGTCCTTTCACGTTGTGAGAAACTTTGTTGGGCGAAATAAAAAACTGCCTTGAGACATCTTGCGTCAGTGCTATAGAGAAGAACTGCCACCATCTATTTTTCTTCAACCAGGCCAGCGGTTTCGAAGTTCTTCAGATAATGGGCCAAATGATGATCCCTGAGGGGGGAATAGAGGGGGCATTTTAGGAGGATATGTGTGATCGATTCGTAGTTAGAGATCTGGAGGGATGTACAGTAGGGGCAAAGTTGGGGGGAAAAATTTTTGAGGAACCATTTTTGAAGGTAAAGGTGCAGAACAAGTTGTTGGCCAGTCTCAATTGAGCAATGAACCGTTTGAGGGCCATGGGAAGGCGTAGGCGAAGATAGAAGGCAGGGGTGTCCCTCAGGGATCTGGGTAGTGTCAGCTGGGAAGACGTTGAGTTTTCGTAGCTAGCGAAGTCCTCTTGAAGGAGAAGCATCTCGTATCTTGTGAAGACCTCGTCCGTGCGATCGATCCACACTGTTGGGTTCAGAGAATCCACAAGGTCTTCAGCATCCACTGACCGCAGGGATGCTCTGAAGGAGGACACCCAGTTGTAGGCCGAGGTCTCGTCAATATTCCTGGAGAGCTCAATAAGTCGCAGCATACAGATTCTGGGGTGACGAGTTGCATCCATCATCAGGACTCCGATAAACCAATTCCAGATTAAACGCATGGCCTTAGAGGCTAGTTTGATGACCCCAGCTTCCAAACGAACTGCCCAATTGGGCATGTTCCTGGGTAACCTTGGGAGATGTTTGAGAAATTCGGTCTGAATTACCTCGATTTCAACCAGACTACCAATGCCCCACGCTGGTATGGCATAGAAGAGTGTCGAGGTCACCAGACTCTCAAACAATCTCCTGAAGGAGTCCCACTTGTCACACTTCGATTTATAAAGGAGATTTAGTGTGTTGAAAGAGGCTGTTCTGGCTCTGCCAATAGCTGCTTGAATAGGTATGTTAGATCTAGCTGAGCTCGATAAAAGCACTCCAAGGTAGGTATAGGAGGAAACCACTTCCAAAGCAGTGCCTCTGAACATGGTAAAGCGAGGATTAATTTGTTTGTGGCGACCTGCAGCTTTGAAAGTCAGGATTTTTGTTTTCATCGTGTTAACTGAGAGCCCTTTTATAGAGCAATATTCACTGAGCGTGTCCAGGATTGCTCGTAACCTGATATGGGTATCTGTCAGGAGCACTGTGTCATCCGCGAAGAGTTGCATCAGAATATCCGTGTAGCCCTCAACATTGAGTCCAATGTGACCTCTCTCCCGAAAGGAGTTTTCAAAATCAGAACAATACAGGAGGAAGAGAAGTGGACTGAGGGTCTCCCCCTGGAGGATACCTTCGGTGACTTGGAAAGCCTCTGAAAGAAGCCCTCCACTACGTACTCTAACACTCGCCTGGGAATAGAGTGATCGTAAGATGTTGATTACCTTGGAGCTGACACCAACGTCTCTGAGTTTCAACCAAAGTTTTTCGTGCGGGATACTATCGAGTGCACGACCGAAATCTACAAATACAGCGTGTACTTCTCTTCTGGGGAGTCTTAGCTGAAGATGGTTAGCCGAGAGCAAACAAAATATGGCGTCAGTGCAGCTCCGTCCCCTCCAGCAGCCATGCTGCGATTCCGGTAAAAGTCTGTTTGCCTCAACCCAGGGTTCCAGTCTCCTCCTCATGATTTCTGTGAATAGCTTAGTGGATGTGTTCACAAGGGCGATGCCCCTGTAGTTCTCTGGATTTTCTTTATCACCCTTTCTAAAGATCATTGTTAGTACAACCTCAGCCCAGCTCTGGGGCACTATTTCTTCAGTCAGGATATTGTTGAAGATCGAAAGAAGTTGACAGGTCCAGCTCCGAATGTGTCCCTAACTTTTGAAATTGGAAAGAAATCAGTGCTTGTCTCCTCCCATACGCTTGAAAATCCAAGTGCCCATGTCTCTCCCCCTTTTAAAAGATCGACGTATAAATTAAATTAAATGGATATACTTGGCATATTTAAAGGTCAATCTATGAAGCTGAATATAGCGAAACATTCAATTTAGGTGAATCTAAAGATAAGCTTGTTAGGACTCGAAAAACATTTTTAAATATGATGGTTTGACCCTTACGCCCTGAGAAATTCCCTAAATTGAATTTTCCGGTAGTGATCATTACCCCAGTTACAGCTTCGTGGTTAATTTAAAAAAACATGATAATTGTCCCTCATACACGGTGTATAACTATAAAATAAATGACTAATATAAATTATAGCTCTTCTCAATTATTTCACAATTCCCTTCAAATACACTTGATAAATATTCCATACCACCTTACCTACATGAAACCCAAAGAAGCAACGTAAACAAGAAATCTTTCACCACATCAGTGAGTGTACTCCTCATTGCAACAGAGTGAAACATACTGGACAATGAACGTCGCCTACAAAATCAAGCACTGTCAAAATTGGTGATTCGACCCGTTGATCCCTTCGAAGGATAAGAAGTGAGAAAAATCACAACATAATTTCCATCAATAAAAATTCCAGTCGAGTAACCACCAAGAATCGAATCGCTCCCCAAAGTCGAAATTATGAATCAGTCCGGAAGCAACCGCGGAGCGTTAATTTGACTGGGTGAAAATGACTTACAGAATCGATCTGTCGCTTCGATCCTTTCATACAATAGTTTGCAAGAAAGTTGATATTGTGCGTAGTAACCTATCGAATGATAGTTGTGACGTGGCGCAGCCACGTCGAATGGTCTACAGCCAGTTGTTCATTCGATTAAATTCAAGCTTGCGCGCGCGTGTATGGAGGAATCATTTATCCACACTCGATATCAGGTTACCTTGCGAGGTAAATATAGTTTCGGGAATGATTGACGCCATCCAGCGAGGAAGAGAGCACTCATCCCCATCGAGCGCAATAATCGAGCCGGCCGACAGCATTCGATCGTGTAATCATATACGATTAAGATCGTGTCAACGCAAAAATAAAAGTTTGAATAGTGTGGAGAAGCCAGAGTGTCACTGAAAAACTTATTGGAAGAGACGAAGGAGAAAAACCTGCTCCTTTTTCAGCAAGACCGAGGAGATTCTTCTTATCGAGGATTACAGGAAACCCCGGGGAACGTCAAGCCCAACCTGGATTGCACATGTCTGGAAGGAGATATTGGTAAAATTTCGCCACCTCCATGTATGAGAGTTCTCCTAGGACTAGCTGTCGTTATTATTCGGGTTGCCGGTTCTTGCTGCCTTCTCCTGGGTTGGGATTTTGCCATTTTCATGGTCGATTGCGCATTTGTCAAACTTAAGCTCAAGAGGACACTGGACGCTGCGAGCGTCAGGGTCATGGGAATAATTCGTTGGGAGTGAAACCTTAAAGGAAAATTCATTCATTATCGCTGGGATTTTTCATTATTTATTATTTTGAGCTCTAGCCAAGGCTCCGATATAGTCTATCTGCTAGATTCTGGATCAAAATTAATTGACTTTAGATAAATTTTACATTTAAAAGTCGAGAGACTCCTGGCGCCCATATTTTTCCCGTTGGGGTAAGCCTGGGGGAAATTTTCTTAATAAAGGTAACAAAGAAATTCGATAATTAAATTGTTTACTTATAATTGAAATAGTTTTTCCAGTTTTCTCCCCCATGTAATATGTCACGAGGATTCTGTCGCCCCAGATACCCTCGTGCACGTTATATAATGGCGCCCAACCTGGGGCTCGAATGAATTTTTGGTCGTTATAATTATTATTTCATTACCGTGAGGGCGTCAGTTCTCGGACGGTTAAGGGTAACTCGACCATCAATAACTGATTCTTCGTTTTTTTTTTCGTCAAATATGAAGTTTGCGGTTTCCATAGTCATTTTTGATATTTTTGGGACAAGAACACGTTTGATTTTTATTAAAAAACTTCGGAATTCGATAAATATTTGTTAAAACAAAACACAGCTCCCCGGATTCAGTTCTCGGACGCCAAAAATTGACCCACTTCAGTTCTCGGACGACATGAATTCAGTTCTCGGAAGAAGTGAATGAGAGGGGTTTGAGAGAAGGAAAAATATAAGAAATCAATTGTAAAAAATATTTTTGACAGATCTATTCTCATTCCAATAGCCATAAACTTATTACACACTAAATGATAACCATGAATAACCATTATTATTATGAATTAAGAGTAATTGAGCCAAGAGATTTCATCAATTTGTGAACGGAATTCTGCAATTGATCCTTAGTGACGGCAAACCCCCTATCAGCCATATAAAAAATCCATTCTATCAGTTTCTTCTCATAAAATTCTCCTACAATATACTCAGGGCCAGGTCTATTGATCCCAGCTTTTGTCTTGCCATTTGCCTTGTCGTAGGTATAAGGTTGACATAGGGATATTATATTCTTTGCTGACTGATCCCAAAGATTTTCCTGTTCTAATCGCCGCCAGAGCATTTTCTAACTGCTCAGGAGTATACTTTGGTGCATTTGATTTTCTAGGTTGCGAAAGCGTCGCAGGCCTGAAAGAGTCGAAGAATGGATGATTTTTTTTTGTTATTATTCTTGGGAATCATAATTTTTTTCAAAAACGTGAGAGGAATGTCTCCATGAAAATAAGAGCACTGACACGGATGAACGCCTATATGAATAAATTTAATGAAAAAATTTAGCGCTTTCTCTGAGATTTTTTTTGCAGCAATTTTAGCAACAAAAACGAATAAAAATTTAGCAGAAAAAAATTCTAATATTTACACTGATGAATTTCATTAAACATCTCAAAATCTACTTACTTTTTTCAAACCGAATATCTCTTGGACCAATGAAACTGTAAAATTAGATAAAATTCTATATAAATGGTCCAAAAAACGAATAGAATTTTCCAATAGAATTCTAATGGAACTCCAAGAGAATTCTCATAGAATTCCAATAGAAATGCAATAGAATTTCTCAGAGTTTTTTTGTCAAATTTTTTCATGCGTGCGATTGAGGTTAAACACATGGATAAACACGTCCGAGAACTGAACCCATCCCGCCTTTGGTGGCTTCAGATCTCGGCCCCTCAATTTCTCCAATAATTTATTCATTTTTTTAAATTGTCCACATCAATTTTTATTCGAAAATTAACCTTCAAGTCATAAAAACCGATTATAAACAATTTTTCACTTACATTTTGTTGTTAGATCCTTAAGAAGCACAGAGGGATTTCACCCTCACCACACTACATAATACTCCACAGACCCCCCCTACTATGTAAACCCTCGAATAAATATAAGTGTAATAATTCTGTACACTTAGTGAAATATTAATAAATATTACAATTTGGGGAGAATTTATTCTACTTTTGGAGGGAATAACAGAAAATGGCCGTCGAGTAATATGGATACGCAATTAATTTGAAATTCAATCGTAAGAGTGCTCTGCGTCCGAGAACTGACGTCTTCACGGTATTCTCCCACAACAAATCAGAATAAAAATCATCCCGAAAAAAAAATCATTGAAAAAAAATTTGGAAAAATCTAGAAGAATTTTATAAGAAGATTTTTATAAATTAAATAGACGTGAATCAATAGAAAATTCAGGAAAATCAAAAGGAATAAAATTAAAAATTCCAGCGAGAATCAAATTTGTCCTCTAGTACGAATTTATTTGGGTTTTCGGGCTTATCTCCGCGCGGAGACAATAGAGTCGACGTTGACTCAAGGTCGCTCGCGCGCTCAACAGACCGTAGCCTCGCGCGTAATCACTGTTGGAGAGAGAGAGACAGAGCGAAAACATTTCGCCCGAGTTTAAATACCTTTATTCGAGCGACGATAAATTCAGGTAGAAATAAATTTCTTTCGATCGAAATAATATTTCGCCTAATTTTTGGCAGTGGCACCCAACTCGTACAGTGTCACTTTGACTCAACTTTTCAAAATAGTTTTAAACGACTCTTTTAAAGAATTATTAATCGAAAAATTTCCGGAATACACAGAGTGGATGAGGATTGTAACTGATTCTTTTTTTTCGGAGGAATAACCGGAGATTTTCTGGGACAATTACAATTTTTTGAAAATATCTTAAAAGAAAACACGGCCGATAATTTAACTCCAGTGGATTTTGATGAATCAAATGCGAGAGTCAACATCGACGAGTCAGAGGTGGTAGAACTCAGTGGTGAAAATATTCCAGAAAACACCTAACGACGATAATCTTCATTCTGTGATCAATACATTACAAGACAATGAACGATTATCGACGATTGAGGAGGAACGCATGGAAGGAACAGCACAGGATTCTATCCCACCGGCCGGTGGAGGTGAGGTTGCAGGCGCAGTGATCCCGGACCTTGCCGACCAATCAACAGGACTGGACAAATGGAGAAGAGAGAAGGAAAATTCGGTTCAATGGATTCGGGAATGCTCAGAGAACGTGATCAGGATATTTTTGCAAGCCGCTTCGCTTAACTGCGAGGGGAGCCTCGAAATCCTGCAAGATCGATACAGGAGGTACCACCTGCAAGCCGCAGGGGTTCTCGGGTAGTTTGGAACGACGCCGAGGATCCTCAATTTAATTTGCTGAGCCCACGAACGCTTTCAGCGACAATAGACGACATTGCACCTCAATTGTGCAGAAGGTATCTGTCCCAACTCAAGATCGACTACACAGGCACACCAAGTGACATCGGGGCATATCTCAAGACTGCTTTAGACAGAATTACTCGATCTGCTCGAGCTGAGGAACTCCGAGAAGGCGAAATTGCGGACGAAGGGATCGTTCAGCAAAATCCTTACGAAATCCACAATGGATTTTGC